TAGACCTAGCTGCTATCCAAGTTATAGCTACAAATGGCTAGAGACTTCGTCTCTTAGTATATAGATAGAGAATCTATTTAAAATAGAATAAAGGAGCAATTCCGCCTTCTTGTCTAGAACAAGAAATCGGTTATTGCTCCTTTATTGATTCCTTTTTGAAAATAACATAGTTTAGTCGGGGGCGGATGTAGCCAAGTGGATTAAGGCGGTGGATTGTGAATCCACTATGCGCGGGTTCAATTCCCGTCGTTCGCCCATCACTCGAATTATCGTTTCGATAAATTCTATAAATGGGTGAAATATATGAGTGAAAGTAAATAACATGCCGCTATGGTGAAATTGGTAGACACGCTGCTCTTAGGAAGCAGTGCTAGCGCATCTCGGTTCGAGTCCGAGTAGCGGCATAAAAAATAAGAGTAATCTTTTGTTCTTTTTCATTTTTTTCTTATCTAATTCGGAGTTAAAATCTTATTTTTTTTTTATTTTTATGATAGTTTCAACCTTAGAACATATACTAACTAATATTTCACTTTCAATAATACTCGTTTCTATTTTAATTAAAATTTATTTGAAAATCTTTTTTGTAGATGAAAACATAAAACTTTCTAATTCATCAGAAAAGTGCATTTTCATAACTTTTTTATGTATAACAGGATTATTAGCTACTCATTGGATTTCGTCGGGCCATTTCCCACTAAGTGATTTATCGGAATCTTTGCTTTTTCTTTCCTGGAGTTTTGCTCTTATTAATAGCCTTTCCTATTTAAAAAAAAATACAAAATTATTAAGTACAATAATAAGCCCAATCAATTTTTGTATCCAGGCTTTTGCTACTTCGGGTCTTTTCACAGAAATTAAAAAATCTTCAATATTAGTCCCCGCTCTTCAATCTGAGTGGTTAATAATGCACGTAAGTATGATGATAGTGGGTTACGCAGCTCTTATATGTGGCTCCTTATTATCAGTAGCACTTATGGTCATTACCTTTAGAAAAAATGAAAATATTTTTAAAATGAATTATATTTTTTCGGCTAAAAATTTTTATAAGATTCAATTAAGTAAAGAATTGGATTATTGGAGTTATCGAGTTATTAGTTTAGGGTTTATCTTTTTAACCATAGGAATACTTTCGGGGGCTTTGTGGGCGAACCAAGCGTGGGGATCTTATTGGAGTTGGGATCCTAAAGAGACTTGGGCTTTTATTACTTGGATAGTGTTTTCAATTTATCTACATACTCGAAGAAATAGAACTTTCGAAGGTGCTACTTCGGCAATTGTGGCATCTATAGGTTTTCTTCTTATTTGGATATGTTATTTTGGAGTCAATTTAATTGGATTAGGTCTACATACTTATGGTTCATTTTCGCGAACATAAAAAAAGACATTAATTTTTTACTTCGTGAAAAGCTAAAAATTTGTGAAACCCGTGCTCTCAAATAAAAATATTTCCTATTTGAGAGCACGGGTGTTCAATAAAAATAGAATGAATTCAAATATACTTTTCTGGACCAGATCAATAAGCGAGACCCATACTGCGAGTTGTTTCATGCCATAAATAAACTCGAACACTCAAGAAATCTGTTGGGCAGGCGGATTCACATCTTTTACAGCCTACACAGTCTTCTGTTCTCGGAGCAGAAGCAATTTGTTTAGCCTTACATCCGTCCCATGGTATCATTTCTAAAACATCGGTGGGGCAGGCTCGGACACATTGAGTACATCCTATACATGTATCATAAATCTTTACAGAATGTGCCATTGGACGAATAAATTTATAAACTTTATGAATTATCGATATAGTATCCTCCAAATATTATTTTTATCCAATATAAAATTATAAGATACTTGGTTTTTAGATACTATATGACTCAATGAATTCTCAGAAGGATTCTAATCAATAGATTTCTGGATTGGTTTTGAAAATAAAAAAAAATTATTTTATGTTTTAATATTATCATTTTTTTATAACTACGCAAACTACCTACAAACTACCTAATAGGGTAAATAAGGATTCTTTTTTTAATTAACTCAATCTATTGTTTTAAAGTTTTAAATAAATACTCCCTTCAAATTTATACAGTAAGAATCAATAGACAAAAGGACATGATGTCTTTCTATTCACTACCCCAAGCTATTCTTTTTTAATTGTTTCAGTAACCATATTGTTGTTCTAAATTTACCTCTATAATAGGTTTGAAAAGCTATGCAACTTCAAAATGAATGAGTTTTTGTCTCTCTAATCTCCAATTTATCAATTAATTCTTTATAGCGGAATTTATTTTTTTTTGATAAATAAGCTAAAAGTCGTTGTCGTTTCCCCAAAATTTTACGTAAACCTTTTTGAGATAAATAGTCTTTTTTGTGCAATTTCAAGTGGGAAGTAAGCCGGTGTATTCTATTGGTGAAATTCCATACTTGAAATTCAACGGAACCTCTGTTTTGTAAGTTTTTTATCATAAACTAAATGAACTCCCTTCATTGATATATAATATGCATTTAAAATAATTTTTTATAATTAAGTTCTAGATTCATTTCATAGATATGAAATAATTGATTAGTAACTAAAACGAACGAACAAAAAATAAAGAAAAAAAGGATAATATTATTTACTTTTATTCTATATTATAGAATAAATCAACTTGACAGAAATGAGTCCAATGTTTTCTTATTTTTTTTGTAAAAAAAACTTTGAAACTTACCCGTTAAAAGAGATTTTGCTAATGAAAGAGCTTTTAATCTTACCTCAATAGTCTTTCTTTTCCAAATGTTCTTACGAATACGCTTTTTGGCTTTCGAAATACGTTTTTTTGGAACTGCCATTTCAAATGATTTACAGGTTATCACTGGATGTGAAAGACATTTATTGCTAAAAAGGAATTCTTCTAACTAAGTCTATCAATTCAAATCAAAAGAAAACCCTTTCTTTTAGGGTTCATTAATAAAATCAAAGTGAATTTTTTCAACTTAATATTCTTTTAATGAGGTACAATATATCTATATAGATCTAGATAGATATATGGTATCCTCAATTCAGTTAGATCCAAATTAAAATGAGGTATAAAATAGGGTATGTGTCCATATTGGTTTTCATCTAACCTGCTACCATCTACCCTGCTACAGGGTAGATAGTACTACTATCAATTAAATTTCCACCAATTTAAATTCAATGGTAAATACATATGGATCCTTAACATACTGAAACGACTCCCATTATTAGTATAAAACCAATAACGATTCATACAAGCTAAATCTTCCAATCGATAATTAGGCCAAAGAAAAAATTCAATTAATTTATTTTGATCCTTAGGCCCAGGGTTGCTTTCTTCCCAAACTTTATTTTTGTTGGAAACTAGAGAATTTGCATCCACGCCATTCCATTTGTGTGAATTGAAACAAATTAGAGTTCTTAATTCTCTACGACGCCTAGATGATAAAATATTTTCAATAAGAAGCGGATCACAATTATTGTTCTCTCGAGCGCGAATTATTCTTTGTTTTACGTCTTCTTTATTAAGAATTTGTTTACTCTTATGAACCAACGAAATAACTATCGTTTCATACATAAGAAATTCTCCATTTGGTTTGATAGACAGCGGAAGGGGGTCGACCAAAAATCCCGTCTTTTTTAAAAATTCTGGAACACTCTCTTTTGAATCTGGAACACTCTCTTTTGAATCTGGAACATTTCTTTTTGAATCTGGAACACTCTCTTTCTGATCCATCTGTGGCATTAGACCCAAATTTAACTTTTCCCTTAGAATCCATGATAGCATCATTTTTTTTCGATTTATCATTCTAAGCAAGAGACAATAGATTTGGAGATCTTGGAAAAGGCCTTGATTTAAAGTAAAATCCTCTCTAAATTGAAAAAATAAATAGTTTTTCATGAATAACTCTAGTTCTATCTCAGTTTGACTTTTCTTTTCACCTTCAGTTTCACCTTCAGTTTCGCCTTTGGTTTCACCTTCAGGTTTACCTTTGGTTTCACCTTCAGGTTTACCTTTGGTTTCACCTTCAGGTTTACCTTTGGTTTCACCCTGAGTTTCACCTTTGGTTTGACCCTCAGGTTCACTTTTGGTTTGACCCTCGGCTTTATCTTTTTTTTTACTCTCAGTTTTATCTTTTTTATCTTTCTGAGTTTTACCGGTCTTTTGACTTGTCATTTCATTAAGATTCAAATTTGAAATAAGTGATTCGCTTGGTATAATCCATGGTTTCAGTTTATATAAATTAACAAACCACACAAATTCTGGGAAAACCAAAAGTTCCTCAGCCGTTAATGGACGGTCGAGTATTTCTTCATTCAGTCCCATCCAATCCAATAAAGAATTTCTAGAATGGAGTCGATTCATTTCGGTATTTTTCTGAATCAAAAGAGCAAAAGGATCTTTTTCGTTTTTAAAAATTTGCTCAATTTTCAAAATTTCTTCCATTTTATCAATTAATTGATAATTGTAAGTGAAAATTGGAGTATTTTGAGTATTGTTATAATTACCCGTGATCCAGGACTCAATATTCGCTTTTTTTTTAAGAGAAAAATCAATATTTTTCCAATTCAAATATTTTCTATCGACATCTTTTTTTGGATATGGAATATTTAACCTTTCTATTTTTCCTCTGAAACTAGTGATAGGAATATTTTTCGTTATCGCAAACAAGTTGTTTTGTGACATCTTGTAATGATAAGAAATTGCTTCCCGTTTAGCTCCTGGAGGGGTTCCACTATTTTTTTCATACTGAATGTATTGATATGCTAAAAGATCATATCGATAGCATTTTTTTAAATTATCTTTTGTTTTTTTATTCAAGACTGAGTTAGCATCCTTTTGTTTCCTGTAAGTATTTAATTTTAATTTTTTACCGGAAGTCCTTTTGTCTAAATATTTTTGTTTAGACCTACGATAGCGATTCGCCCTATTTCTCCATTTTTGTTTTTGTGATCTTAAGGCAGACCAGAAATTAGGAGATAAATCGTAGTGAGAATTCCCTTTTAACCAAAATTTCCATTGACTCGTTCTAGGCCGCTTAAGTTGTTTTTTTATTCCTTCAGATGGAAGTATTCCTTGTGTATGAAATGAGTCTTTTATTTTCTTTTTAATCAAGAAAGATGTTCCATTTTGTTGAAGAACAGATATGAAATTACGTACGTTCAAAAAACCCCTTTCTGATATTTTGTACAATACATATGCTTGTGACAAGTTGGATAAATCACCAAAACTCTCTGAATTTTCCTTATAAAGCTTATTATTATGCGTTTTTATATTTGAATTTGAAAGAGAGTTCATTTTTGTTGATTCCACAAAGACTTTTTGAGTCATTTGGCAAATAGATATAGTATATAAAAAAATACAATTAGATATTCTTTGAATAAATAATTTTATAAAATAATTAAATTTATATATTAATCTATTTTTTTTTTTTTTCAACATTTGACAAAAATTTTTTGACAAGGCTAATCTCGAACTTTTTTTGTAAGGGTTCATATCAAGTTCTAGAGTGACCCTTTTCTTATCTTCCGTAATTCTTTCTAGTTTTTTTTTTAATTGTACTTGTCCTATGAGTGATAGCCTGCATTTTGTCTATCGGTGAATAATTTTTCCAATCTGTAATTTTTTCAATTTTACTCAAGGGTTGATTCATTATCTGGTTATTTATTAGATCATCTTTTTCATTTTTTATTACACTCGGGTGTATTGTTCTTGTTTCTTTTGAACTTGTGTTTTTTTTTGAAAACTTTTTTAAAAATTTAATTTTTACTTTTACAAATTTGTAAAGTTCCTTAAAAACAGGCTTAAAAAACGAAGGTTTTTGTCGTGGATGACCAAAAGGGTGTTCTGTTTCCCTTCCCCAAACTGTTAAAAAACAAAAGTCATCACGAGAATTTAGCGATTTATATTCGTGCCAAGGTTTGAGACAGAAAGGAAATAAAATTTTGATTTGAATACCTTCTGTCAACCAATTTTCCGGAAATTTTTTGTCAGCTAACGGAATACCATTATAAGTACACTTCACATGCGTTTCTCTATTCCATCCCTTTAAATCTTCAGACCATTCAGGAGTTTGAAATAGTAGCATACGCCCGATATTTTTACCGATTATGAATGAAGGTAATAGAATCTTTTTTCTGAGAATTGATTGGGTTATTAATAAAAAACCTCTTATTATTTGGGTATATGGAAAAGTCTCCCAGGCTTCCCCTATCTCTAACCGTTCTATTTCCTCTCGTCGTTTTTTTTCCTTTTTGGTTTCTCTTTTTATTATTATTTTTTTTTCCTCTGTAGATTCTAAAATCCCAAACTCTTTTATGGATGACCATTTTCTAAAAAGCCGTTTCAGTTGAGCCAGGTATGGTAGAGAAAAAAAGGTTTTTTTCCTCATCCTGTCAAAAAAAAGAGGGGAATGCGCATTTGCTTTAAAAAGTCCCTCAATAACTATTTTACGTCTTTGAGTTCGCATAGAGTCTTTTATTAAGCCTTGGCGAAAATCAGATTGGTGCGGATATCGTAATAAAAAAAGCTTATTATCCTCATCTTCCTTTTTCTTTTTAATATTTTTATCTTTCTCATTATCGTCGGATTTTATAGCTTGAATATTTGTATCTTTTGTATTCTTATCTTTGTTTGTAGTCTTATCTTTGAGAGTCTTAGGTTCTTCAAAAATTAATACACTGATCCCTTTTCTTGAACGAATATCATGATCATCTGGTGGATTTGTAAAATACGATATTTGTTCCAATTCAGTTATTAATTTGTATGACCATCGGGGGACTTTTTTACCAATTTCTTCTTTACCTATTTTTTCTATTGCAGAAGATTTTTTATCGTCTGTCTCAATTGCATTTACTAAAAATTTTGTTAGTTGTTCTGAATCCGTTAAATTGAAACTTGATGATAAAGTTGAGAACTCACCAACTTGTAATGGTTTTTTTTCCTTTTTTTCAAAAGTAGACATCAACAATAAAGCATGAAGTCTATTTAGCATAACCTTCTCTCTCAACTTTTTGATCGAAGTATCGTTTATCGACGTGATATCTTTTTTTATTCTTCCGCGGGAAGGCCCATTTAACAAGGGATCATACTTTTCTGGTAAGTATTCTTTTCTAGTCTCATCATTGTGTATACATAATCGCGTTTTGTTTGTTTCAATTTCGATTATTGGAACTGCTACTGGTTTGTCAAGATTTTTAATTCGATTTAGCAAATCAATTTTTATAGAATTTAATTTTTGTTTGTTTCTAGAAACCCAAAAATTGTCCAATGTATTAGAAATATCTTTTTCTAGTGACAAAAGGGGTATCTTTGTTTTGATTATTTGAAAAAACGTTGATAAACTTATCGGATGGGTAAAAGATATTCTATCTTTTCCATCACTTTTATGTATGTCAAAGAAATATTGTGCCATTTCGTTTCTTACAGCTTGTTCAAGTCTATTATTTTTTATGTAACGAAATGGGCGAGTCCATCTTTTATAATCAAAAAGAAGAGCCACAATATGTTCTTTATTTTCATTTTTTTCAAGGATTTCCAATTCGGAATCAGACCCTTCCAAGTCTGGTTCATTTACCTTCAAGTCCAATTCTTTTTCCAAAATACCTTTTTCTTCGGAAAAAAGGGAAGGATCTTTTTCAGCGGATTTCTTTTTTTTTTCTACGTCTTTTTCTTCCTCCCTTTGCAACCTTTCCTTTTCCCTTTGTTCTATTTTTGAGACCTCACTAAATTTCTGAGTAGGAATAGGTAAGGGTGTTCTGCCTAAAGACTGAATACTTAGAATACATACTAGAGTTCCAAAACTATAATTTACTAAAATAAAAAATATAGAATTTCTCACTAGGTACTTTCGAATGATCGACCTAATAACATTATTTTTCTGTATCCAGACTGCTAAAAATTCCAAGCAATTTATGACTAAAATTTGTCCCATTCCCCAAGCAAACAAACTGCTTGTTACAAACAACATCTTATTATTACAGCGAAACAGATAAATGCTTACTAATCGGGCTAACGTTGAACTTGGTAAAATGCAAGTGTTAAGCAACTGAAAAATAAGATGATTGAGGAATACAAAGATATTCTCTAGCTCACGGATCGAATTTTGGTTATTAGATCCATAAGCAAAAATTTTTTTTTCAGTGTTCAAGAAAAGCTGAATCAAAAGATAAGGTAAAGCAAGGACAGTTATTGTATGAGGTCTACCCAAAGCTAGATAAAAGGGCGCATAATAGATGGATACGAATCTCATGAGCTGTCCCATAATAAAACCAGTGGTTGCTGCTACCTTATTATTTGTATTTGTTTCTTTTTCCAGAACCAGAGTTCGCACAAAGAATAAATAAGAGGACCTTATTGAAAATGTGGTAAGAAATCCATAATAAAGTCCGACTACAACGACTGAATTGAGTACCTTCAAGAATAAATCAGAACCTATAAACATAAAAAGCTCCTTAATTAAAATAAAAATTTTTTTGATATTATCAAACAATAAACTAGTAGATTTGTCTTCACATCTTATACTATGATTTTTTTACTATTCTACTATATGGAATTCAAAATAGGTTTTATATGAAATGAAGTTTATTGGACTTTTCTTA